GTGCATTTGTCTGCCCACAAAAGGCCATTTAAAATCAGACTGCATGAAGCGACTAGCGTTTGCTTGGAAACCGCCAAAAGGCCATATAATGAAAGTAAAGCAGATTTATAAAGGTATCTTATGCCAAATATGCAAAAGAAGGAAAGACTAGGCGCAGCTGTGAACTAAAATTAATGAAAAGCCGGTTTGACTGCTAAATCCCTATGGTGCAAGTAGCGAAAATCGCAGCCATGTTACGTGGTGCCCGACGGAGAATGTGAACTTGCCTGCAAAATGGCTGGCATCTCGAAGCGTTCAAAGCAGCACAATGAAATTGGAGTAGGTCAGTTAAACAAGCACCACGTCGCTACATGTTACCTGACCGACTCGGTCACGGTTTTGCCCAACTCCATTTACTTCACTTAATCAACTCGTCGGCTGGGGACTAATGTAATGTGCTGAGGAGTGGCAGCACTCGCTCGGATCAGCAAGTTTCACATTTTTAGAGTGGCCGATGTGCAATGTGTAGTATTGTCCTAACGCCTCCTTCTTGCGGACAGAGCACTTGTTAGATTTTCACACTAAGCCTACGCAGATATACAGGTAAAGGCTAACGAAAGCTCAAATAGGGGATTCAATCAAGTGGCAAACCAAAGTAGGGTGCTGGCTTACGGGTGGGAGTGGAAAATGTCCACATTGTCGAGTATTGCAACCAACTTTGCCCACCAAGAGATCCGAAGACAGCACGTCGACGGACAATTGCTCCTTCCTTCGCGCTAGCTGTCAAAATGGGTTCGGGTTTTGTTCTGTTCTAGTTTATGAGCAACTCAAGCACTGGTTGGGCATCTCATTCTGAGAGTATGCCAACCATCCTAAAGAATTTTCGGCTGTGAGCACTGTGACAAGGGAAAAGCGAGGAGAAGTTGGGAGAAGGAATGTACATGTTTCACCTCAAGTGGCGTCTTCCAACAAGACACAACATAGCTTGAGCGTCACTTTCCCTCACAAATCGGCATTCTTTTCTGTTAGAATTTTGGATTGATAGCGGAGTAGCAAGCCTTAAAACGATCGACAACAGCCACTCCGTCCAAGGCAGAACTGACGTAAATTGCAGGAAAATGTTTACTCGTCAAAGGCGTTAATTTGCACCAATTCACCCCACGTCCAGGAAAGTTGGACTCAAGCAATGATATAACAAAGACGCCTTGGTGCGGCTTAAAGTGGAGTCCTTTCCCCTTCCACATCTACAGCTACAGGACGCTTTCGGGAAGCATCGATGACAATACCAGAAGATAGGTGAGGGTGAAGCGGCCTACAAATGCTCAGGCGCATCTGCGCAGCGATGAAGAAGTTCGAAGACGGCGATGTTGATAAAGATCGGAAGGTAGCACGAGATGAGGAACTTTGGACCTCCGTCTGCTGCTGCAGGTGGACACCATCCATAAGCAGAATAGCGATTAGTCATACCTTAATTTGGTCGTCATTGCATAGACGCACTGATCAAGTTCAAAATTCGAGGCAGCAATCATGCTGATTCTGCATGCCTATAAAATTATTTGTTGCCAAATTGGAGAGGTGAGCAACGTTTAGGACCAAGTAGTTGGGCTTTTGAAAAGGGTTGTAAACTGTCAGAGAGGTGCGGAGGGGAAGAAAGTGCCATTGCCCACCTTCTAGGTGTGCAGTTCTTGGGTTTGTAAGTAATGGGCAGTTAGCATAGCATTTGGAACTCGACATTAGATGACAGCGATTGTCAAGTACGATGGAGTGGACGTGACATGCAATGGCGCGTCAAACCTTAGAGCCGCTTGTTTCAACAACAAAGAGGGTGTTGATCTGTAAGTGTTGAAATAAAATCACTGATTAGCGTCATGCGGGGCCCATAGCATTACCGTATAGTCTGTTTGAGGGCTTTGCACCTCATTCCTTGATGATGGCTG